ACAGTTTTCAAATTTTACACCCTACTTAAAAAGAGAGATTTGGTCTAACTGGGCAGCTGAATGATACAAGGGATATCGCACAAGTAATTCATTCTATGTCAAAATTAATAAACGAATCCACACACTATCATGGTTCATTAAATTCGCATATATCAGTAGGAGACATTTAACTACAATCATCCGTATAGGAACGGGTCATTGCTCATCTCCTCTTCACCTATTTAGAATTGGAGTCAAAGACGATCCATATTGAGAATGTGGCCAAGTGGGACGCTTAAACCATATTTTATTAGAATGTCGCTTAAACCAAAACCCACATTTCGAGTTGTATGCCGAATTAACTAAAACTAAACTTCCCACTCCCATAAATATTTGCACAATCCTCACAAATATTAATGAAAATACAATAAACACCTTATGCAACTTTATTTTCACCTTCAATATTAAAATATAAACAATGATCTTCCTTCTTTCATTCCTGGGTGCTTTTAATTTATCATTCGGTAGCATTTTTAGTGTGTGCAAAGATTGGAGGCTACCCCCGAGCGAGAAAAACTTATATCTTTGTTGTGTTGTCTTACTAAAATTTTAGCCTGTGAAGAATATAAAAAAAATTCCAGCACAAGTATAAGTGTGCAAACAAACAAAGGAAGAATATAAGTGTAGGTAGACACTGATTGCTGAAGCAAGACAAAAAGTGTCTACCCTCAAAGTAAACTGGGTAAATTGTCTAGGACATAGCACAAAAAGAGAATAAGAAGAAGAAGAAGGTTTCAATAACCTAATTTTTTGGTAACTTTGACATTTGGTAATCAATTTTTAAATTTTCTTAAATTAAATACTTCCTTAAAAAATCATTTGTTTTCTCCTAAACTTTGATTTAAAAAAGGTCCCAATTTGAAACCTTATAAAAGGGGACTTTTCTCAATTTCACTGGACTATATGTGTTTAGTACAAAATTTATGACTTTTTTTTTTAATTATTCCAAGATGTAGTCGAAATGTTCAAAAAGATTAAAATATATTACTTTTTATTTTAGACGTTAGAACAATGCCTGCAGTATGCTGTTACCTGATGAAACCTACGAACAAAATGCCGTATTCACGGGGCATATCTTGGCAATGCTTCGGATGTATGACGATTTTCTATACCACTACAAGATTCGACCTGAGTTTTTTTGCAGGTAAAATTACAATGATATATGAGACATAGTTTTGTTATAAAAAGGTACAAAGTTAATCTATTGTATCAAATATTATTTTTATTTATTTAGTTTAGGGGTGTGAATGATTTTAATGAAAGTCTCTTTTTCTGATTCTACGATAAAAGTTTTCTCTTATTTGTTGTAATGATAGATTCTCTGCTACTTCTTTATATTCAAAGATGGAGCTAGTCTCGTAATTCTATTTGATTTTCTTAGGGTAAGCACCATAGATCCATTGTTGATTTAGTAAACTCGGTCAGAAAATCTTGAATGTAATTTAGAGAATTGTTTATCAAATTTGACACCATTGTAAACTTTAGTTGTGTTTCAAGGATTCACTCATATTTTTAACTTTCTCTTAATCCTTAAGCTCATTTTTGAGCATATTTATATAAATAGGTTTAACCTTTTTTATTGGTATCTACCAATAGTTATGTTGATCTTTATGAAAAAGAAGAATGTTCATTTTAATATTGCTGTTACATAGTTCTATCAACAGAAATTCAAAAGATCCAGTCCACTGAGTTAGTCAAGAAATCTATATTATATTCGGCAAAACAATTATACAACCATCTCCCTTTAAAACTTAAAGTTGCAACTTCTTTTCCCAAGTTCCGTAAAATAGCAAAAGCCTATCTAACAAACACCATAATAATTCACTAGAAGAGTTTCTTAACGAATAACAAAAAAATTGACCTTTATGTACAAGTACATAAAGTATTTATCTATATTTGGGTATTATATGCAGCAACTTCAACTTATTAGTTCGTAAGGTTTTCTTATGCCATTTGAAATTTATTTAAATTTTGCAATGGCTTGTTTATTTTATTATGTTGTAACCTCGGAAACCCTATTTGAATGGTGCTAGAAAGTAGAGGTGTGCTTATTAGTTCTTTTAGACGAACTAGTTCAACAGAACTATTTCACAAAAATGAACTAGTTCGCGAAAGAACTATTTGTAGGACCGGCATCGAAATCCAACCCTAACAGAACTGGTTGCCAGATGTCTCGTCTCAATCATCACACAAGCTCGGCGCCAGCCGCCCGTTTTCGTAGTCTTTCACTAGTTCACTTAGTTCACTACCGTACAAGTAGTTCGGAACTATTTCTTTCGATCGTATGTTTAGGTTTAAATGGTTTAAAATAGTTAGTTTTTATTTGCAAACAATTATTAAGATTTGTTTTTTATTAACCGTTTTAAATATAAATATGATTCAAGTATGATTTATTTTTATATTTACGTATATTTAAACTCATAGGTATTTATAATTAGGTTATTTCTAAAAGAACCTTTACAAAAAAAAAATCAGTGAATTTTCTAGGAACATTAAATAACACATTTTCATTCTCACTTTTACATAAAATTATATTTTATGTAAATGCCTCAATCATTTTAACCACAACTAAAATTTTTATTTCAAAATTACAATACAAGAAACAACACAACATGGCAACATCCAAGCCAATACATGAGCATAAGATCCGAACCATTATGATATTAAGATAAGACTTAATGTTATTGTCACATTAAGAATTATGAATCTGTTATCTGAGGCTAATCGGCATTTTTTTTTAAACTAGTTAGTCCATCCATTCTTCTTCTTCTTCTTCACGTGCCATCTCCGCTACGAAGGTTGGCTATCATCATGGCAATTTTGACTCTGGAGGCTGCCGCTGCCATCCATTCACAAAATAATAAATATCTGTTCCAATTTATTCATTCATTATTTTCTTCTTTAGAAGTTGAGACATAATTTATAATGCAAATCGTTCGCAGTGAACTAGTTCAATGAAAATTAATGAACTATGAAAATTAATGAATTAATGAAGTTGAAGATAAAATCCCCAAAAAAGATGGGATATCCCCCACTTAAAAACGACAGGCCAGCCTGTATGTATTTCTAAGAAGACAAAAAGGTTCTAATGAACATAGGAAAGTTCGAGGTGAATACGATACTAGTAACTGGACGTGATGAAAGATAAATCCTTTTGGATTAGGTTCTTACAGAAGAATACCATAAAATACCTTTCACGGCTTTGCCGGCTAAAGGATCAAATAGAACTCGCCCGTAACCAGAAAAGGATTAGTCAAGCATTACAATAAAATATTCTATTCTGGCGTCTTTAATAAGTCAGATCTTCCGTGTTTTGAGGTAGTCGGTAGATTCCAATGAAATTTGCCGATGGTAAACACGACCACCCGCGTATATATTATTTGTAAATACTTCCATCGGCGTCTCAGCAACAGGGGTAAAGGGATTAAAAATAATTTAATATTTTAATTATAAAAAAATGTTACAATGTTTTTTTGTGATATTGACGATTTATGTAATTTCAGTTTATAGTTTTATTATGGCCTTATTTCACTACAATCAAATTTATACTCTGTTGCAGATATAAAGAAAAGCAGGCTTTGCAGAAGAAATTAACCCGCGCTCTAACTGCCTCACGTAATAAACAGCTTAGCTCTAAATGTAGGGGTAAGTTTTTCCTATACACTTATAAAAAATGCGCCAATTTGTTAATTACAGTAGAACATATTTATATGAAACCTCGAACAAGAGAAGCGATAGAGAGGGTCATTTATGCGGCGTTGCCTAATCGATTATTATTTTAAAAGTTTGTTTTTGAGCTGTAAAATAATTAATACTCCATAATTACAGTAATGGCTTTAAAATATATTTATTATCAGAGTACTTATCACTTTATTATACTTTATTATCAAAGTTTTTTGAGGTAATTAATAAAATATGTTATTAGATTAAGTATTCATCATATTTATTAAAATGAACAAAAGTCTATTAAACTAGAAAGCGAATAATAAGCTATTTAGGAAAACTATTGGTTGTCATTGTAAGCAAAATACATTGTCATTATTATCAGTACAAAACCTGCCAGATCTGAACTTGTAACGTGAAAGTTGCAATTATAAAACGTTCTGAGTAGCTTTTTTATCTAGCAGTTCACGATCGTTTTTCATTTATTTTTCTTTAATGTAAGTACCCATAGGATTGAAGTTGCTTGGAAATATCTTTTCGCTATGCCCTATAATTAAAGTACCCTCTTTTTAACGGCAAAATAGCTGTTTATAGATGAATTAAATACAAGGTAACAATTATTACAAAAGTAGAACCACTACCTTAACGTACTTTATTTTACGTCTCTCATAAACATAAACATGGTTAATTCATTCAGTTCCTCTAAACATGGATGGAAAAATTTAAAAGAGATTTAATCTTTAAAAACAAGACAAACAAGCTAAATTTTGCTAAGTATATCAATTTTGGAAACCCAAAAAAGTTGAAAAATCGACCGGCTATTTTGAATGTGCCAAGGGCGTGAAATCAGTTTTATAAATAAAATTTGTATAAACTCGATGGTAAAAATTCTATATCTTTTGATCAGAGTCCTAACTACAAAAATCAAAGTGTGATTTAAAGGTGAAGAGAGCAGCTTTAGTATGCAATTTTTACATTTTGCCGCAAATGAATATAAAGCTGTTAAATAAATAAGTTTGCGCAATTTTTGCCATTTTTTATAATTCCCAAAAATTCCCAGAATTTCCATTTTCAGAGCCTAATGAGTTTTTGCAACAAATTTGATAAAAAACGCTGAATTAAAAAAAATATTTTTATTTATCACGTTATCAAATACGTTTTCGAAGTCTATAAAGTAAATATAATTGGACTGATAATTGCATACAGTGTAGTTTTTTACTTACGGAACTGCCGCATTCGCCCGACGGATCTTGCTGTCAACGTCAAAATAAAAAATACAATTGTATATACTGGTTGAAATAATTTTCAAAACTCATTTATTTATTTGTTTATACATCGACATATTTCTTAATCCAGCCTAAATATTTGCCAACATGGGTAAATACTGATGGAGCTCCAACCTGACATAAGCTTGTTCCAGCAGAAACTACACCAATCTGAACATTATTCCAGACCAAAGGTCCACCAGAATCCCCATTGCAAGTTCCCTTTTCATCGTCGCCATTAGTACAAATATTATTATTGGTAATATAGACTATACTACTAAAGAAATCGTCATTGTAATATTTTTTGCAGTCTTCTAGCTCCAGAACTGTAACATTTACAATCATTAATACATTTGATAAATCTTTAATGGTGGGATTAAACACATCTTTAATCAAACCCCATCCAGTAACAGTTACAAATTCGCCTGTAAAGGGATCATCAGATCGTGTCTCGGAAAGCAAAGGAATTGTTTGAATCGCAGAAGTTATTGGAACAGGCTCGTCCAGTTCTATCAAAGCGATGTCGTTTTGGAAACTTATGTCATCAAAATCTTCATGAATTATTATGTTAGCGCTTGTTCTATGAATTTGAGTTATTTCTGTATCGGATATGTTATGTGCTCCTAAGATGATATCCAGCGACAGATTTGTTCTGAAATATAATATGTTGTTTTTTTTAAGTACTGTACTGTACAATGACTAAAAACAAAATGAGAATGTCTATAAATAGTAAACACAGTGATTATGCATTAGTTCTTAAGTTAGTAAGATAGTTTCTAGATAGTCAATCATAAGTATGTTTTGTATTCAATTATTATATGTATTTGCATCCATTTAGGATATACATATACCAGCATATGCAGTCACACCTATCAGTAAATTTTTAGAGTTAAAATGGAAAATGAGTACTAAGAGCTTAAACCAATAAACGCGGAGGTTCCACAAGGCATCGTTCTTGCGCCGGTACTATACGTTTTGTATAAACGTAGCATTCTAGAACGGGAAAATATTACACTAGCCATATTTGTCGATCTAGGTAGCTCAGAGGTTTTATTTATTTATTTGTTTGATTTATTTTAAGACTCTGCAGTGAAAAGAGGTGATGCAGGCATTTGGGAATGTGACGGTGAATACGGAAAAGGTATGCATTTGCGGATGATGTCACTATGCTAGTAGTAGTGTGGGATCTAGCAGGATCTCCGATTTCGGAGAAGACATACGGGCAACGTCGTAAAGGACTGAACTTCAATTTGCAAGAGAACTAACATAAAAAAAATGCGTCAAATATCTGGGAGTGACACTACACCAATATGGTGAATGAGAGCGAGCATATATTGGTGGTAGCCCGGAAGGTAGCAAGGAGAGCGACTACGCTGGGGAGGGTGATGCCCAACGTTAGGAGACCTAAATCAGAAAGGAGGAGGGACCTACATAGTCTTTTGCAGTCAATCATTCTTTACTTGATACGTCTGGACTAGGACGGTAGACATACCGATCTACAAGGGGTTCATGATACAAGTAGATAGGAAGTAAGGAGGGAAGGAATAGTGTACACAATTACATCCGAGCAATCATTAATAATGAAGAGGAAGAAGATAAAAACCAGCAGGACCAACGGCAGAGATAAGATTTAGATAAGAGAAGGGAGTGGTAGGCAGGATAAAAGAAAGACATCAGTTTGCACCTCTTTCTAACTAAATGGGCACAGATGTACTCATCTAACCTGAATCCAACACTTACCAGCTATCACTAGCGATGGGTTAACCTGGTTCGATGTTTAGAAATTTTCACCCTCAGAAAAAAAAAAGGTAGCTTACAGCTGAGTGTATTCGCCGTTAGTGCTAAATGATGCGTAAACGTTAAGCAGAAGAAGCCACATTTGCTGGTGATGTAGCTTTTCTTGGTTATTCCCTTTGTATATATCCTCTAAATTTCTGCATTTGAATTTGTTTAGGAATGCTATCCTCTATCAAAGCATTGCACATCACCATACTTTTTTAATCATATGCCTATTATTGTATAGTTAATCCATGAATTCATATTTTCTTTTATTTCCTATCATACCCCTCTTAACCTTTCTGAAGAAAATTCTTCAGAAAATCTTCAGAAAATCGAGAGAGAAAAATGAGAACAAAAATCAATTTCCATGTATATATTATCACCACTGTATTACTTAGATATAGACATTTGCATACCTTAAATTGATCTATCTGTTATTCGGAGACAAAGTGTAGTTTACACATATGAAACAGAAGGGAAAAAGGAAAAGCAATCAAAAATTAAAAAAAAGGTACTCTACTTAGACCAACAAAGTATTCGACTACTATAGAAAACTAGAATGAACGGCAAACTCAAAGATGATGATTTTAGAGCATTGATTTCAGATCTCATCATAATGGATCAAATTGTGCATCTATAAATCAGCAAAAGCAGCTTTGTGACAGTATGAAAAAATGAGCCTAAGCACAAAACCATACTGGTTTGACGAAGAAATAGAAAAGGATATTGAAGAAAAATACCAACAATACTTAAGACAAGTCTTTGACAAAATTTAAACTAATTAAAATAAATGCAATCATACCTGTTTACGCAATGAGCTGCAGTGAGAACAAAATTTGTGGAAATAAGAGATCCTCCACAGAATTCATCACTATTTATTCGTATACCAACTTGATATGGGTAAGCGTGAGGCACAGCTACATCCCCACCTGTTATTGTCAGTTTTCTCTGCAAAAAAATATACAAGTAAAGTCTCTTCGTAGATTGTCTGTTCGTAAATTGTATCTAAAGTTACAAGTTCCTAAGATTACAGGAATTAATATTAAACTCAAAACAGTCTTCCGGATTGAACCGCGTCGATTATCTTCTTCTTCTTAACGTGCCCTATCAAGTCCCCTTGACGTTGGCGATTAACATGGCCAAACTGTCTCTGTCTCGAGCTATTCTAAATAGTTGCTTAGCTTTCTTTATTCCTGTCCACTCCCTGATATTCTTCAATCAAGAGGCCTGCTTTCTACCAATTCCTCTGCGTCCTTCGATTTTACCCATCATAATAAGTTGAAGAATATTATATCGGTCTCCCCTTACTACGTGTCCAAAATAGGCCATCTTTCTACATTTGATGTTATCAAGCAGCTCGCGAGCAGCATTTGCTCTTTCAAGGACTGCCACATTTGTCAGCATAGCCGTCCATGGAATTTTTAGTATACATCTGTGCAGCCACATCTCAAAGTCCTCCAAACGATTAATCGTAGATTTTTTAATGTCCATGCTTCGACACCGTATAAGAGGACTGACCAAATGTAGCATTTAACCATGCGCTTTCGAAGTTGAAGTTGCAAGTTATCATTACAGAAGAATGACCTCATTTTTAAAAAGGTCGTGCGGGCTATCTCGATTCTACATTTTATCTCTTGATCTGGATCTAGTTGTTCAGTAATATGGCAACCAAGATATTTAACACTGGACGCTCTTTGAATTATATGACCATCAACATATAATCGTGCATCTTAATGTGCTAAACGGCTAAACACCATGTGTTTTGTTTTTGAACAGTTTATGTTTAGGCCAAACTCTCTTCCCACTTTATCAATGGCATTTAAAAGGCATTGTAATCCATTCATGTCATCACTTAAAATAACTGTACCGTCGATTATCATTGCGCCAAATTTAAATATGTATATATATTTATATAGTAGCCGAGTCTTCTACAGTTGGCTCCGTTTCTCGTATCCTAATGTCCAGCATTTTCTGTCGAAGCAATCTTTAGTTTTAAATATCTGTCAGAGTCCATTTCCATGGCCTTAATTTTTGATTTGTTGCTTTGATTGATTTCCCAAAGTTCGGCTTCGTATAACCCAATACTTTTTTTATTATTTTATAAGTTCTTTTTTTATTGTCTTTTGTTATTTTATTATTCCACAATAGTTCGTGTAGCTGTCTAGTGGTTGGTCTTGCTTCCAAAATCCTAGAATGTACTTCTTTGTTACTCCTTACTTTTGATGTTATTCTCATTTCACGTCATTTTTTATAAAAGATCTTGTTATCATCCTAGATATTCTAGAGAAGAAGGGTTTAGGAATATGTCGACATCCTGACTCTCTCTGGGCTTCCTGCAAAGAACTTTAATTCAGTGAATCTCATCAATTTTGTAGTTGTAAAATTTAAATCTATTTTCTAAGATCTCTGATATATCCATTGCTATTACCCAACCAATAATCAAAAGATATAGAATTTTTAACGTCGAGCTGATACAAATTTACAAAATCAACGGTCAGTTTTCCAATGCTTCCATTCTTTCCACACGTCCCAACCATATGATTCTTTGTGACTTGACGAACTTGGTAATGGTAGGTTCTTTGTATAAAGCCATTAATTCATTGTTATAGTTCTTCTCTCCCAACCATCTTCTGTCTTCCGTCCTCCGAATATGCGTCTCAGTATTTTCCTTTCGCATCTTTCCAGTTCCTCTTCCTTCTTATTTAATATCCATGTCTCACCGGCGTATGTTACTGTGGGTCGAATTACTGTTTTATATATTCTGAGTTTACCTTGTCTAGAACGTATTTTGAGTGCAGTAGGGCTCTTAAACTACCTAATTTTTTGTTCCCTTTTGCTATTCTGGCTTCCAGCTCTCATTCCTCTTTTCCATTTTCATCGAAAACTACACCCAGGTATTCAAATTTGTCCCCCCTTTTAAAACTAGACTGCTTACCTTCTACGTAATTTCACACTTAGAGTTATTTAATGTCATTTTTACTAGCCGGATCAGTTTCTTTATTATACCCAAATGTTCCATTGCTCGATACATTTTGACTCCATCGACTCTATTATATGCTTGTCTAAAATCCACAAACAAAACATGCAGGGGAACTTTACCTTCATAACAAGTCGTTTGTATCTTCTTTAATGAGAAGATTTGGTCATTCAGCATTTAATTAACTTTATACCGACTGACCTGAAGATGCTTTGCAAATTGTAGAAAGCGAAACCGGTCGTCTATGTAGTTAAATTAAACTGATTATGAGTAAGTCTTATTTATTTCTTTTTTACCTACCTTTTAATGCAGTCAGATTCTGACAAATTTCGATTTTATTGCTGTTGGTGTTTCATTTTAAGGAGAACTCCAAATAAACTTGAAAAACTCCTTTGAAGATTTATCAACACGTATTCAAACCAAAACAAATTGGAACTCAAATGAAGAACTGCTATCATGTTTAAAATTTACTTGCAAAAAATGACAAAAACTAGCCTTTTTATAGTTCCACCGTTAAATCTTTACAATACACCGGTGTATATCGGTAGTATAGTAAATATTTGTTGGCTAAAATTATAATTTTAAAATTATGCGGTAATTTTGGTGAGCGCTGTATATACGTTTACAAATTTATTGTATACTTACTGACAAACTACAAGAAATGAAACATAAACACACAAAATATACTTTCATATCTAAACAATAATAGATACAGGCTTAATGCACTTTTTATTATTCCCTGGGTAAATTTTATATTACACTTTTATAATCTTAGATATTTACATTAATCTTTTAATTCTTATAGATAAAATTAAAAATTATCTGTTTGAGTTCATTAATATTATAGTTACCTGAGTGGATTTAAAATGTAGGTGATAAAAATCAAGTGGGCATTATGATAGTAAAAGAATTTATGAATTATATACGGTATAACTGCTGCTTGGGAAAAAGAGTATAAGTAAAAAAAGTAGTTTTGGAAAAGTCCATCAATGTTTACCTGGCTGGATAGTACATTTTAAAATACATTTCTATTTTTTTTGTAGTGTATATAGAGTAAAGGAAACTGAAGTTTGTTAACTTATTTTTATAATAATTAATTTTTATTGATTAATATTTTGCATACTATTAAATTCAAGTATGTCAGGTGGTTGTTCTATAGTCCTTCAGGTATTATACATACATTTTCAATTTATTCGAATTCTCAGTAGAAAAAAGTTTTAAGCAAATTTTGACTGCCTTGCAAAATAAGCAGTGCGGGTTTAGTTGACTAACGGCCTGGGGTTAGTTGACTCAATATTTTCTTAGTGATATCATAAGAGATCACAACTAAGTTAAGAGTACAGGACGTCAATGTGAATAGAGGAGCGGAGTGCGGCTCGGACCACTGCCTGATAATAGGAAAAATATATACACCATTCGTAGACAGGAACCACAAAGACATCACCAAAGAACACAGAGAAAAAATAAAAAGAACTACGTACACCTTAGACAATCTGGATAACGAGAGCACACAGTTACTTTACTCCTGGAGACTAACACAAAAACTACAGGAATCACACAGATCAACGACGGATGAATACGAACATAAAATACTGCATAAAAGACGCAGCGCTAGAAGCCTTAGGGCCATAGGTACGGAGAGTAGATAAACCATATTGGTGGGATAAAGAAGTGGAAGAAAAGATAAAAAGAAAGAAGGAAGCATATGAAGGGTCAGGGGAAAAACCAGGTAAGTCAATTTTTGTCAAAACTGAGAAAAAACATTTTTAATGTTCAAAACCATACAGAATACGCATAAATACTAATACCGGAGTAAGTTATACAAATAATTGGACTTTTATGTGTCAAAAAAGTTAATAAAATAGAAAAAACCCAAAGGGTGTTGTCAGATCACTGGAGTGTCACAAAAACCATGAAAGTGTCCAACCTGAAAATAACACGCATATTAATAAGTAAATAAAAATAAAGCAAAAAATAATTATTGTGATTGACAGAATGTGTTTACGTATAAATATTATTATGTTAACTTACATTTACTTAATCATGGGGTAGTTGATGAAAATATTCGACAGTAGCGGGCGCACAAAACTTCATTAGGGTTTGCAAATCTTTAAATTTTGCACTCGAAATTGGCAGGAGGCCTGGAAAGAATATTATTGTATAGAAATTTGTTAGAAAACTTGTAATGGTTAATTCAGTCAAATTATTTTTATTATTAGTACATACCATTGTATGCTGGAGGGGGAAGTTCAAACAACCCGTCTTCTAATGATAACAGACAATGCCGTGGTAACCTTACAATGCCAGTTGAGAAACACTGATTACAGTAAATGGGAACGGTTTCGTCCGTGATAATTTCACCATTTCTTTGAATTCCTTAGGTGTTTCCATCAACATTTTTGTGTTCCACAAACCAACGTTTTTATCACACTCCAAGTAGGAGTGTCCACGAATAGGAAATGTAATTTTGATATCCGTAAGGCCATGAACTTTATTGTTAGTGATATAGTGAATAAATTTAAATATGATGTAATTTTTGTTCTGTCCTCCTGCAGAATCGCAAAAAATTTCCAATTCTTCTACTTCATCGTCCAAATAATTCATAATGAAGTGAAATAGAAATGAAGCCACTTCATTCGGTCCTTTTTTAGCAATAGCTTCATGATACACGTAAAAAAAGGATTCACCAGTCGACAGAACATGAACATTAAAAGAATACATAGCAAGCTGTCGTTTGTAATAAACGTCTTTGGTCGCTATATTCGGCAAGGAGACATTTTTGGCAAAATCTACGCATATGGTTTCTTTTTTCTTATTTTGTCGTGCTCCAATTTTTGATTTCTTTTTGAGGTTATAAAAAGTCTGCGCGTTTTTTATGAAGAGTATTCATTACTGTTAGCTGATGAATCTGCTGTGCATCTTTTTCCACAGACAAAGCTTTAACTTTTGCTGTATATTCATCACACACTGCACAAGTATCCGAACGCAGATACTCGAAAGAAATATTGAATTTTGTGTTAAAAATTACCCTGTAAGTGTCGTAGGATACAACTGCAGCAGGATGTAATTCTTTAAAAAGGTTGTACATTTTCCTTATGTTAAGACTTTCTGGTAAGTAAGTTTTGGTTGAAACTATAGTGACTCTGGCGACCTTTGAAACTCTTAATATGACTATCAATTTATGACTATGACATCAGTGACCTCATTGAGCTGTCTGTCTTTATTCGAATGCTTACCCCTTTTATCCATAGGTGCAGATCCTGTCGATTTCAAACTTTGCTGTAGATAGCTGAGTTTATTTTTACTGATTCCATGAAATGAGCAAAACGCACATATACCAATATCTACCACTTCTCCGTTGTCTTCAGTTATTCGAACTCTGTAGGCAAAACTAGCTTCTCGTAACTTTGCCTACTCTTCACGTACATGTACCAAGTACATGTTTTGCTCATTATGAGACGGTAGTTGATTAAAGTAACTCAATATCTTTTTTCTACTGTATTCAAAAGTTACATCATAACATTTATATCTTTTACAATGGCAAGCAGGACCAGCTTCATGTGTCGCAAATCTTAACTTTTTATTTACCTCAGACATCCGACCGGTTTTCTTCCTCTTTTTTGGCTCACTATATAACTTAATACCTTCATCCGAGCTTCCTTCATCCGATCTTGACATAACGATAATATTATTATTTACAAACTAATCTCGATGCGACTGTTACAAACTGTAGCAATGCACTGTGTTCGCAGATACCGATAACGTGGCCATCGCGCGACGGCAGAGTCGAGTGAATTTGTTGACTTGCCTGGTTCTTTTCCCATTTCACTTGACTTACCTGCTTTTTTCCCCTTATATCAAAACTTTGGCTCTGTATATCTTGTGAGTTACTTGTATTTTTCCAAGTTTCGGACTTTTGAAAGATACATATGTTCACTGTGTACCGAATACAGCTGATAACTCAATATTGAAAAAAATTTACTTACCTGGTTTTTTCTCCTGACCCTTCATATCAAAAGTTATTACAATAGGGATACGAACAAACAAAACAACAATATAAAAAAAGAGAACACACGGGTAGAGCATTTTGAGAACTTATTAACAGAGAGAAGAGAAAGGTTTAAACAGACAAATCAACAAGTGGAAGTAGAAGGAAGAATAGACATTTCAATAGAATAAGTGAAAGAAGCAGTTAAGGGAATAAAATTAAGAAAATCTCCAGGCCCAGGCGGAATACATCCAGAGTTGATTAGGTATGGATCATCAAAACTGTTTGAAATGATCCGAAATTAGAGAATAAGATCCAGAAGAATGGAGACAATCGTATATCTCTCCAATACACAAGAAAGGCACAAATACGTATCCTAAAAACTATAGAGAACGCAGTGATTGCTACTATAGGCCGACTACACTCAAAATTACTACGACACCTGATAGAAAATGATATTAAAGACAAACAAAAAAGACAAACTGTTTTATTTGCTATTCATTTTTTTAACTTCCTGGAACCGTTATCTCGAGATAAGCCCATAAACATCAAAGAGAGATTTATTGAATCAGTTCTAGTTGAATATTTTTTAATATTGCCAGACTCTCTTCGCCGATAATCTAAACTGTGCTTGATTTTATTATATTATTGTATTTGTAAAGGTATTTATTATTCATAATACTGTTGATTTTTCTATCTATACCACCATTTAAGAATTGATAGTGCATTTACTTATTTGTTTACCTACAGCCGCCTATATTATCGTGTTGTTGAATACATATTGTTTTGTTTTATCAATGAATTCTATTTCTCAACCCATAAAAAGTTTCCTGATATGACAATACGTCTGAATATTTACGTCTTACATTAAATTAGTATTATACCTTCTACCAGGAGAAAGGTCAAGGCTGATTAAGTTTCGTAGTAAAATAAGTGGACGAAGTCCATCTAATATATTTACTATTTGTTTATATAGTGTGTTGACCAAGTTTATTTAATAATTAACTATTGATATCTTTCCTTGGCTATAGTCTTAGAACCTAAATATCTTTCTTTATATCTTTTCGTTTCTAGGGTTTCTTAATCTTCCCCTTTGATCCCAAAAGTTAAGTGGCGCCCTTTTTCTATCTTATCTTATCTTATCTTTGGTAATTTTACCCATCTATCTTTTTGTTTATTTCTTTATCCTTTTTAATATATCTTGTCCTGTCCTATCTTTACTTATTTCGTCTGTTGGACCCATTTCCGGTTCCAAAAGCTAGTTTCGAACCCTCGACTCTCTCTCCAGGACCCTTAAGCTAGCGGGGACACATGAGCGGAATCCAATTTAACCTACGTAATATTTTTTCACCCATTTTCACTAATTTATTACCACCCTAATAATTTTTCACCACCAAACCAACCTTAAGGGGAGCGATTCTGCTGGCTTAAGGTTCAAGCTAGCAGAATTCAAAAAAAAAACTTTTTGTTGATGGCATATTTTTTCACCCATTTTTCACTAATTTATTACCACTCTAATAATTTTTCACCACCAAACCACAATTAATGGGAGCGATTCTGCTGGCTTAAGGTTCAAGCTAGCAGAATTCAAAAAAAAAAACTTTTTCTTGATGGCATATTTTTTCACCCATTTTTCACTAATTTATTACCACCCTAATAATTTTTCACCACCAAACCAACGTTAAGGGGAACGATTCTGCTGGCT